CTGTCCCGCCGGGGCGGGCACGGGCACCCGGGCCCCGCTTTAACGGGCTCCGCACGAGGACTCGGGTACCAGGAGGGGGCAGGGCTTCCCAGCCCTTACAGCGTGAGCAGCAGCCAGTGTAGCTCTTGCCAAAATATTTGGCCTGTTCTACAGGCCGAAGACCTTAAGATACGCACCAGATGACCAACACTGTGTTCCTGGACAACAAGGAAACAATACATTTCCATAAAGGTTCCATTCTTTAAGGGTGAGCATGAGGGAGTGCATGCATACTAGTGGGACATAACTAGAGCACAGTTTTTGTAGTGTTGAACAGCACAGATGTTTTCAGAATGCACCTCAGGGAAGGTATTCAAAAGTATTTGCTTCATTACTGGTAAGCACATAAAAAGCTGCTGTACCACAGAAAACAGCAGCTTCCTCTAAGAAATATTAATTTATTAGATCTTAGCAGAAAGCTAGCTCATGATTGGATTTCCTTGAACCCAAACCATAACTTTATCTATCAATTAGACAAGGCAAGGACACCCCAAGGTGTCTAACAGGAAAAGGTTGTCCCACAACTAGAATGTTGGTGGTGCTTTCCTTCCCCTGGAGAGCCCCTTTTCAGTGGCAGTACATCAACAGCTCTGTCTCTCTCTAAACCCTAAATCTAGCTAGCAACTAGGAAAGGACCAACAGGCTGCCTTAATCCAAGCACCATTAACACTAGAGATAATGGCCTTTCAAAGATCCCCCAAATCCATTAGAAAAATGGATAATGGTAGACACTCAGGTGGGATCCTATACAACTGTAACACAGCTGAAGATTCAGATTATGTTCCTTAGTAGCACAGGCTATAGGCCAGGCTACATGACATAGCTCCTGCATGGAAACTCTTCTCGAATGGGTCAGAGACAACAGATTGAAAAGCCACTATTTAGAGATCTGAGATAGTGCAACACTAACCTATGAATTGCTAATATGGTCAAATGCCAATAATGCAACAAGCCAAATTCTGTCAGACTCTTACAAATCTGGGAGTCATTAAGAGGTAGATATAATACCTGGGTGTGAATATCTCCTCTACATGTCATAAACCATCAGGGTTCAAAGCAAGCCTAGAACATACTTATGTAAAAACTAAAACCTTTCATGTAGCCAAGAAAAATATAAGAAATGGTGCTGGTTATTTGAATATATTGCTTTTTCTTTAGCAAATTATAACAAACTAATATCACAAGGTTGGTGCTTGAAGTTTTTTTTTTTTTTTTTCAGGAAGCTCTATATTTCAGATGAAAAAATTAAGGCCTCAAATACTTGTTTTCATGGAAGTTCTTCTAGCACATTTTTAAGGTAGGGGATGATAGGTTTCAACATATTAAAAAAAAAAAAAAAACCAAAAAGCTGAGGAGTAAGAATGCAGTTTTACTAACTCCAAAAATCTCTCTTCTGTTGTACAGGGCATCACTATTTAGCCAAGGAGCAAGCTGTCTTTTGTCTCAATATTGCACTGTTTCTCCAGCCCACCTGAGATTACACATTTCTGTAGCTGAGTATATGCATTTTGCATTTTTTTTCAGCTTCGTTTAAGCAGCCTAATTCCTCTGTGGTGGGTGGAAATATGAACACCCAGACATGGGATGGAAAAATTATCAGCTGCTTCTTTTCATAAGTGAAAAGTAAAATCTGCCTAAGACAGAAGGCCAAGCTCCTTTCTTCAACACTGTCCTTCACAGCTTAGCACCCTCAGCATTTTTCTGCCCTCACAAATGAGGCTCCTTAGAAGAATAAAATCAAAGCCTCTCATATAAACCAGTGCCCCAAGCTAGCAATAGCGAGTAGAAAGTGTCTATTTTAATAATACCCATGATATAGCACTCACCTGAAGCCCAGGCTGAACCATCTGATACAGTCTGTGCTTAACTACTACAAATTCTTACATTAATGGACAGTTTAGGTTATTAATAACATTCCCTGGGACTAAATTCTCCCATGACGCCCCCATGAAGTTGCATCTATCAGTGATTACATAATTTACAGTTTGCTTTCAGAGTAAGATTCTAAATAATATAGGATAAGGGAATTTTAAGGTAAATACTGGTTTTGCTAAAAGACTTACACATGATGCTAAAGCTTGGACCAACAGAAGGTAAACCTCCATAGCTCCAAAGATTCCTTCTAGCCTATTGGACATACATGCTTACACTCTCAAGTGCTTGCTTTCTCCTCACATGACTTCATGTACCACACTCTAACATAGAATTCAGTGTTTCTTCCCTCTAAGGAGAATATACAAAGAAAAGACCCAGCCCTTCCATTAGGTCCATAAAAAGCTTGTGTTTTTTTTGCAACAAATACTTCCTGCAGTCTTAAAAATACAAGGCAAAGTACCACCCCACTACACAAAGAGAAGTTACTCACCAGAATGCCAATACTGGCAAAGCTCCTAACACAGGTCAAATACTCCCACCTAAGACAAACTACCTAAACCTTAGAAGTGCCAGTGCAATTAAATACTTCTGAAACCTAGCACACCTGTTTCAGATTCCGAGGGTGCTTCTCTTTAGCAATCAGCTTCAAAAACCTGATCTTAATTCTATGCTTGTTTACTTGTCTTGAACAGAGACAATAGCTTTCAGCTGTGTTGTAAGGCCCTCGTAAGAGAATACTTGAAAAGTGCTAGCTCTGCTCCTTTATCAAATACTACTTGCTAGAGAAGTGTCAGTGATTGCTACCACAGTGGGATGTAGGATGCCTGAGCTTTAGTTCTCATTCTGCCACTGAGTGAGTTATCCTGGTTTGGTTATTTCATGAGTTTGTATTTAAATCTCCCTATTCATGAAATAAGACTAAACATCCCATTTCTCAGTTTAGTATTTCCATACATTTTCTATGTATTGTGAATGGAACACAATAGGAAAGTGATGAAAGTTACTACCTGCTTGTATATTTTCCTTGTTTTTAGCTTAGCAATATTTATTTCTAAAACATATTCCTTCTCTAAAAACACACAAAAATCAAACTCATCCTGTTTCTGAAGTTTTGTTGCAGTAAATTTCCAAAGTAAATACTTATTCCTGCCCCATTGTACAATGTAGAAGTTTGTCTATAAGACATTTTATCTGAAAGTTAAAATTTTATTGTAGGGAACCAGTTTTGTTTCTTAGCATAAAAACTTTGCTCCCAAACCACCATGGACAGTAAAACCAACAAAAGAGAAATGCAAATTATAATATTAATACAGCATGCTAAAATGCGTACAGATTTTAAAGTCGAACAAATGCATCTGTAAACATGTTTGTCTCATGATTAGATGCTGAGGCATCTGATCAGACAAAAGCTTTTGCTGAAGCTTTTTTCCTGCATTTGGAGCATTCATAATGTTTTTCTCATGTGTGAATTCTGCAATACCTAACAGAATATAAATGTTAACTGTAACAGCTCCCAGTGCTAAAGTATTCATTTTGTCTTTTTGAGGGCTATAGATGAACAAAGTCACAACATAAAATAAATTATCTGAATTAACACTTAGCTGAGAATCTTTATGGATTGCCCAGATAGGAAAAATTAAACTTGTGGGGTTATATTGCTGATCACACACCAAAGGCAGTGAGCATTGCCTTCAAACACTTGAGACTAAAAGTATGAGAGGATAAGAGTAACCATGGGACACTTGGGGTAGCATAAACAGATTAAGTAAATGGATGTCAGCCCATAATCCCATAAAATAATGGGATTTATTTTTAAACCAGAAATGAATGTTTCTTGGAAAGCTATTCAAAGAACCCAAAAGAGAATCCATTTATCCAGGTTTATCTTAGAGGAGATAGTGTAAGAGAACTACTTTCAACATGACGTTTGTATGCTTACAATTTGTACATATACTTCATATTCATATGTATATAAGTCTAAATGAGCATAACTTATATGTATGTATAAATTCAATGTAGCAGGAAAAGATACTTTCTCTACATTAAATCTTCCCTATAGTGATAGTTAAATTTAAACAGGGTAACTCCCTAAAAACAAAGTTGATAAAAGATAAAAGTTAAAAGCATAAAAGCTTGGAAATGGAAAGAAAATAGCATATCTCAGAGAGAAATAAAATGTACCCCAGACAGATTGTAAAAAGATGATAATTTTGAGCATGGGAGCAGTCAAAACATGCTCAAACACGGGGAGCAGTCAAAATAAAAAGACTTGAAATTATATCTTAGTGGTAAAAGTAAATAACAGCATAAGTCCTGACAAGTTAAGCAGAAATATATCATACAGCTCAAGAAGATAATAATATTTATTTTAATCGGAAATCTGCCAAGGTACAAAAGGGGCTCTCAGGGAAGATAAGGTCATTGCAGAGAGGCTGGGTAGTTTCTGCATTGCCGTTCAGTACAGAGCAGGACAGGGAATTTCCTGATTAGACATTTCTTAGAAGGTTTGAATGTGAGAAAATCTCTCGATTCAGGAAATATGTTTCAGAAAGAATGTCTTTGTGCAGAAAAAAAATAGAGTTTTAGAGCAAATCAGGATAATGATGCTAGGAGCAGATGATACAAGGCAAGTCAAATACAAAATAGCACAACTGCTTAGTCTGGTGTACAAGCTGTCACTGAAATCAGCCTCCATGAGAGAGCTGTAGTAGCCAACAAATGTTAAATGATACTTTAAAGAAGATTGCAGAAAAGTGATTGTTAGTACAGAGCTACAATTCTCACTTCAATACCCACAGTTAGAAAAATTATGCAATAAAAACTGAGGTATTAAGACACAGGGATAACATGTTGTGTTGGAACTGATTCAAAATGGCTGTCACAAAGCGCACACCATGCTCTCCTGGAGATCTCTAAAGATGCCAGTGAGGAGATACAGGGTGATCCAGCAAGCAGTTATCTAAACTGCAGTCCTGTTTGCTGACTGGTCCTGATTGAGGACATGGGGATAGGAAAGGCTGCTGCAGCTGCTAGGGCTGGAAGGCACCACTGATTGGCTCCACCTGAGGCATCCCCATGCCCACTGTCCCAGGAGCTCCATTTAACCTTGGGCCTGGGCCTTCAATCTCTCTTGGAGCTATGCTGGAAGAGTATTAGTCTCTAGTTTTGCCTCCTGGATCGACTCTGGCTCTGTGCTATAGGCTTGTCCTTATTTCTGCTGCTATTTTCTACTCCCCTATGAACTTTTTGGATAGACAGGGAAGCTACTTTATGACATTGCTCTGTCTGGGACTGTTGTGTTCAGGCACCTCAGGTTTGCAGCCTTGCTAGTGAGGGTACTGCTTGTGCCATATTCCATAGCTTATGTGGGAATAGGCAGCTGCCTGGATTGATGCTTCTACCAAATAACCTGGGTCTCTTGATGCAGAGATCATAGAACAGGCCTTGATGCCTGCAAGCACCTTTTGCAAGAAGTAGGTATTACTTTCTGCTGTGTAAACAGGGATAAAGGCAGTGCTGTAAGTATTGAGGAGTTCCTGGGCTTTTCCTGGAGTGTCCCAGTGACGAATATGGCAAGCCACTAGAGAGCAGCATTATATCTTCTATAGGACTTCTGCTATGTGCCTGTGCAGTTTAGGTGAATAACCCAAATAAACCAAAGCACTGGGATATCAACAGGTGGATCTTGTGGTATTTGGTAATTTGTGGTAATTGATCCCTAGCAATCAATTACATAACGCTATGTGTGAATAGCTGGGAAACCCTCTCCTGGTATTTGTTTCGTTTTGGACTCGTACCTACTACTGCTGGAGGCAGGGAGGATGGCAAATAATTCAGGGAAAGAAGAGATGCCCTGTGTGTTTCTTGATATGGAAAGAACATTGGACTTGCTAATCTGATTGCTTCTGATGATAGGTATTACTGAGATGCAGCTAGTAAGCTCTATACTTAAATACCAGAAAGTGTTTGGGGTTTTTTACCTCTGCTACCTAATGCTGTGCTGAGACAGACTGGATTACACGGTGATAAGGTGTGCTCCATCTCTGCTTTGAAATGAAGATGAACTTAAGTGAGTATCACTAAGAAAAGAGTGTGATAAGCATCATATTAGAATTACTAGGAAACAGCAGGGACAAAGTATTTGGTAGATCAAAGACAGTGTGGCTAAAAAACATTAATGGTAAAAGACAGCATAAAGAAAGGAAGAGCAGACAGGAAAAAGAATGCAAGTTACAGCTGTGTAATCAAATTGTTTGGATAGATAACAAGACCCAGTCCTGAAAAATAGTCTATCAAAGCAGATGCAAAGCAGACAAACAGCATCTGCAAGGCAACTTTTGATGATGCACCAATAGCTGATATGTTATTTCAGGCTGTTAGGGAGCCCAGAAAAATGTCCAGTTCCTTCTGGCAATCCATAAAGTGGGTTAAGCCACAGTGTAACTTTCTTGACTCTGGGTGCCTCTGGTTGTGGTCTGCAGCTGAAGTCACTATGTGATTATGCAGAGCCTTCCACAAACTGGGTATGCAAAGCTGCATAGAGAACTTCAAAGGTGCTTTCTAGCCCTCCCGATACACATTCAGCATGACCCAGCTCCAGGTTCTGCGCACTATTCTGGTCTCTGGTTTTTTTTTTGCCTTTGCTGTGTAACTACTTCTGCACTCATGCCTGTAATTTTGTGGTGTGTGGCAGCGGGAATGTTCTTTTAATCCCTCTGCGTCTTTTGATCCTGATCCTCAACAGCTGGGGTGTTGCTCTGAGTTCTGCACCCATCAGGAGGATCTCTAGTTACCGCTGTAACAAACTATTAAGGGCTTTTGAACCTCATCCTGTTATCAGACAAGGAAAATGGGGGGTCATTTTTATCTGTACCTCATTATTTCAGTATAATCTGTATGGAAATTATAACTCTGTAGATGAATTCTGGATGTCGTAAAATATTACATTTTTTCTAGAAAGCTTAGAAGCACATTCTCAGTAATGTTAAAATGAAAATAGAGTTATATTGAATATCAGCCAAGTTTTTTCCTTGGCTGAATATCAGCCAAGTTTTTTTCCTTCAAAACAAGGGAACAACTCATTCCTCTATCTGGAAATACCTGTCAAAAACCACCATCTGCCATCACCTGCTATGAGCCAAACGGATCTGAGTTTTGCTTTTGCAGACAATCAAAAAGGTTTTTCTGTGTCTCTGCAAAAGGTCTGACTCACTAACCCAGCAGTTCTTGAGGACTTTTCTGCAGCCCTGGGTATTCTGCAGGGCCTGAAGCTGGGTGCAGGGAGGAGGCAGCCCGAGAGCAGGTGCTGCTCCCCGGCAGCGCCATGGCTGGTGGCAGCAGGCTAAGGAGTTCCTCGGGTAGGTAGCCCGTGGGGGTCCAATGCTTCCTGGAGGCTGAGTTTTGCTGTAGACAGACTGCCAGCAGATGCCCTGTCTCTCTCACCAGAGTTCCTGGGTTCCTCAGAGTTAAAGATGAGTCACTTAAAGGTTACTGGATTTTCTTATTGCTCCACTTCCTCTGCTTTCTGAAAATAAATAGGTCTAAGCGCTTGGAAATTCTCTTGGGAGTCCCTGCAGCTTGTTTGTTTTGTGAAAGTGCTTCATGTTATCTAATATTGCTACACTTGTTAACAACAACAGCTTTCCTATAAAACTTCTCTTGAGAAAGCTAACTGCAGCTTTGAGAACACAGCTGCAGTCCACAGAAGACCATCTCAGAAACCTGAAGATGCAGTTTCTTCTTCTGCCAGCTAATTTAGCATTTCTTTATAGCTTTGTGCTAAGCAAATCTGTCCAGGTGTGTCCCTGATCTCAGAGCAGTTAAGAACTTGCATTGCTGCTTCTGAGTTAGTCTGTCTTTATTAATTGCAAACATTTATTGCTGTGATTCTACATGACAGAAATTTTCTACTATGTAGGGTATATGCCAACTATGTGCTAAAAGTTTTTTTTTTTTTTTTTTTTTTTTTTGCAGATAACTACAAGAAACAATGACTTAGGTGAGTTTGATTTTTATTTTCCATAAATAACTGCAGGTTTTGTTGGGGGCTGCTTCTCTATACTTTGTTCTCCTAATTCAGTACATTTTTCTCTTTGAAAATGCCCAGCATCAGTGGAAAACAATTCATGATATTCAGAGCGCATATGTGTTTTAAGGTCACATTCAGTTTATTTGTTGCTGTGGCAAAGAAAATAGTTGTGTACTTGTTGCAAGTTTTTTTTTTTTTATTTTATTTTACATAAAGTCTCAGTAAATCGGAATCCTTTCTACTTTGATTTCTTTCCTGTGTGGCATTAAGTCATTTCTGTCTGGTGTACCCCAAACTATTTTGCATTTCTGGCATAATAACTAGTAGTTCTTGTCTGTGAGAAATATATCCCAAATATTAGGGAGTCGGAACACAGAAGCCTGCCAATGCTGTATGTCAAACTAACGGGTAACCTGAAAATTAGTTGAGAGTGTGTACTCAATATGCATGCTAGAAAGTTGTTTCTTTTGTATGGTTTATTTCATGTTTTCAGAGGTCATTTATGACTTCTCCTTAATTCCACAAGCTCTAACGAGGAGAACAATTATTTGCAATACTAGGGAGCCTTCCACTTTAAACCTCCCAAAACTTCTTTAGGCTAATATGTGTTTAGTCACAGCTGTGATCACAGCTGCATTATAGTATATATATTAATATTAATCTCCTCTATTTAGAAAGTCAGACCTAACCAGTCTTAGCATACTGTGCTACGCACTCTGTACTAATTTGCAAAACCCTTTTTATATTACTGGGAATTCTTTCTTCCCTGGAAGAAACCTCCAAAGGTGCAAAAACTTGGTTAGTGCATGCCTCTCTTGCTGCTTTTGCACTTCTGTAATTTGCCATGTACATTCTTTCTTTTTTACATCTGCCAGATGGTGGAACAACTGTTTATGAAGGAGACATCCTCTTGAGAAGAGGGCAACGCAGTGCAATTAACTGTGAGAATTGTTTGTGGCCCAAGTCACGAGATGGACTCGTCAAGGTTCCAATTAACATCTCTTCTGACTTCTGTAAGTGCCTTGAAATGGATGATGTGATGTTAGCATTGATCTTCTAGTAACTGAAGTGTATGCCTTATTTTATGATTCTGTGGTGCACATCAAAAGCGGTCTTAGTCCAAATGAAAACTTTTTGATACATTTATTCTGTTTATCTGTCCCTATGATAGCTTGGCAGGCTCTAAATATGCCTATCACAAACACTAATATACACAGTTACTTGGGCAGTGCTTGCTATGTAAACACTAGCTAATTGATTTAACTACAAATACTAGTTCATTCCTACTAGCTACAATGCACTTGCTGATATTTAGCAAGTACAAAAGAAAAAAAAAACGTTCCTTTCTCATCATGAATATATTTGTATCAAAATTCATTACTCCCAGGAACATTTTTTGGAACTCTGTGATATTTAATATCTGCAAAAGAAATGTTCCCCCACTGGAAATCCTGCAGAGTTAAAAATAGAGGAAAAATCTCCTCAGATTTATTTCCCCCAGTGGACAAGACTGCAGGACCAATGTCTTATTCTGGAAAATTGTTCTAGAAGACTTAGTATTCTAGTGCGTGTGGGTCCTCTCTCTCTCTCTGAGGCTTCCATAAAGACTCTTAGAATCCCTCTTTGAAGAGGAAATGATATGGAAGTGAAATACAACCTGGGCCTGGTTGCTGTTCCTGGGGATTCTTTATGCCACTATTTGAGCAGGGGAGAGTTGGGAAGAACCCACTCTGCGTTATCCCAGCTGCTCTTCTACCCTAGGTGCATCTAGAACTGCAGGATGTACTTGTGTGGGTAGGTAGGGTTATTCTCCCTACCTCACTCTCACAAAACTTCAAGGATGAGCTACAAAGTAGAGAGAAATGCACCCCATTTTATTTTATGCTGATAAACCAAGTAAGATATTTTTGGCCCCCCTCTCTCCCCAGCAGTCACAGAGAGGTTGTGGATTGCTGATGCTCTGCAGGAGGTTTCCACGCTGACCTGTGTGCGGTTTGTGAATCGCACCACCGAAGCAGACTACGTGCACATCGAACGTGGGCAGAGGCAAGTGCCCTGACTCCTGGGAGTGGGAGCCCCCAAAAGCTTTTGTTTACTCCTCCTGTTTTCTCTTTCAGCTTCTTTCCTGTCTGGATTTAAGGAATTCTTATTCCCCATTCTTATCCTAGAATTCAAGATTCAGAGGGAAGGTGCAATATTTCATTTTTCTTTATACTGGTAGTTAATTGCATTACTTATGGGCTGCAGGAACAAATCTGTATGTGGACTTCACTGAAAATAAAAGGGTATAATTCAAAATGGGATATTTTCCTTGAAAGCTACCAAAAAAAATAGAAGGAAGTATAATTGCCTCAGGTCCATTGTTTAGCTACTTGAACTGATTAATCTCAGTTTGACATAGCCCATTTACTGATTTGAATTTGCCATACTTAAATAAAAGCTTTAGGTTTGCCTTTATGTAGTTTTAGTCTGGCAGTTTTCTGTAGCCAGCTATGTCACAACAGTGACTATTTGCACACCTCGCTATGGCTGAACATCTACAGGCTCTTGTTGGTTTAATTAGTACATCTGCTGCTTTGTATTTGCTGAACGTGACCATTTTGGTTATTGATTGGCTCTTCTTAGCTGCTGGTCTTTCTTTGGAAAAATTGGGGGGCGTCAAGCACTGGGCCTGATGAAAAATGGCTGCATGGATAAAGGAGCAATTCAGCATGAAATGAACCACGCACTGGGCTTCATCCACGAACAGGCACGGAGTGACCGGGACAGCTTTGTCAAGATTATGTGGGAACATATTATGGCAGGTATGTCTGCTAAATCTTGAGAGTAAGTTTTGAAGATAAACAAGGATATTTCTTCTGACAACAATAATACAAATAAGCATCTTTAATACTGATTAGCTGCGTGGAAGCAGCAGTATGTTCAGTGTGATGGCATTTCTTGATAAGGGTTTGTCTTTACTAGGGGGATTCTGCTACCACAGTTGTGTTAGAAAATTTCTAATGTAAGTGCAGCCTGAAAGTAGGATCTTGATCACTGCCTGAGTTCAGACCTTATATACTCGGTAACAATGTAATAAGAAATATGAAATTTGGTAAGCCTGAGTTCAGACTTTATATACTCGGTAACAATGAATGTAATAAGAAATATGAAATTTGGTAGCAAGGAGAAAAAGGAATCATCTTTTTGTTGCAGGGAGTGAAGGTGGTAATGGGCTTGAATTGCTCAGTATTGGGTCATGTTAGGAAAACACTTCTGGAAATAAAGGTGGTAAAGCCCTGCAGCACATTGGCCTGAAAGTGCATGGAGTCTTTGTAACTGAAGCTCTTTGGAATATTCTTGAGGTCATTTTTTAGGCCTGTTTTCTGTGGTGTTCTCTGTCCACAGGCTGGGTAAAGGCTTATGAGCAAGTCAGTGATATAAACCATCAGTCTCTTGGGATCTCAGCATGCTCTGGTCTGTACCTATCCTGAGCCTGTGACCGTAAGAATACCTGCTGGCATTGCAGCAATGTCCTGTAACTGAAGCTGGGCAGACAATTTAGCCATCAACATCCTTAATGTTGGCCATAGAGTAAATTATAGCCTTTAGAGCACAGTGGAGAGATGCTGTGCTTGCACATAGTCAGCAGGACACACCGCTGCAACAGCTTTTGGAGATTGTAGCCTTTCAGTCCTAGGTGCAGCCTGACAGTCTTTCTCTATACAACGTGGTGACCATTGTATGGTTCATCTGATCAACTCCAAATGTGGAATAAGTGTCCTAAGTGTTGGTGGGCCTAATTCCATGTTAGGAGCCATCTGAGAAGCTAGAAGTGAGAAAAGGCAGACTGGTAAAATGCTGTTCCTCTCCTGTCTCTGAAACTATTCTTAATCCAAATACACATTTGATAGCCATATTGATATTTTCTAGTGAATCCAGTGAACCCATCTCTACTCTGCTCTTTAGTGAATGGAAGATGTTGGTATATTGTCCCAAGTAGAGGCAGTTTAGTAGGCATGGTGGTGATGGGTTTACAGTTGGATTTCATGATCTTAAAGGTCTTTTCCAACCATAATATATCCACGAATATTAGAAGAGATTAGGAAAGCCTAAGTATGGCAAAATGGGGGAAGAGAAGTTCCCCATGATATTGACCAGGGAGAAGATGACTATGAGACTTTAATTGAGGTGGAGTTAACATGATGGGGAATCTTGGTTTGAGCAGGCAGAGGTCATGGCAGTGGCACTAAGTGAAATATAGCCTGAAATGTAGATGAGAACAATGGGCCCTATGAAGCAGATGATAACGCAAGCA